CCGCCAAGCCCCGGAAGCAAACGCCCCGCCAAGCCCCGGAAGCAAAGGCTCCGCCAGACCCCGGAAGCGTCCCCTCCGCTCCAGCAGCGTACCTCATTGGACGGCTCCCAGACGAGCGATCTTGATTGGATAATGCTTGCGGCCCCGCCCCCTCAGGCCCTGAGTGACAGAAGATGGGCTCCTACGCTGGGCCGGAAGAACGCGGATAAAGTGAAACAGCGGCGGGCTTTTCAGGCAGCGCTTCCTCCCTGAGTTGAGCCAGGTCCGTCCCAGAGAGTATTTGCGTTTCACCTTGTGTATAACGTCATATGCATTTATGATAATACATTGTGTGGGTAGTCACACATGAAAATAACACAACTATTTTAAAATTCCGGATTTTATGACCTTTCTGATTTCTAGTCCTTTGAGCAGGCAGACTGAGAGTTTAAAAAGTAGGCAATCATCCTAAATAAAATGTAAGACACATGCGTATTCTAAATTTTTTTTCTTTCTTTCTTTCCCGAGTAGCTGGGATTACAGGCGCTCATCACCATGCCCGGTTAATTTTTAGTGGAGCTGGAGTATCACCGTGTTGGCCAGGCTGGTCTTGAACTTCTGACCTCAGGCTATCCACTTGCCTGGGCCTCCCAAAGTTCTGGTATTACAGGCGTGAGACACGGTGCCCTACCGTGTTCTAAATGTTCTAGCAGTCAAACTTCAACAAGAAAGAAGAAATAGGTGGAATTCATTCTAACCACTGAATTAACCCAATATATCCAAAATATTACCATATTAATATGTGAGCAATATGTGACTATTGATAAAGCGTATATATTTTTGGAACTAAATCTTTAACTCCATATTTACCTTTTTTTTTTTTTTTGAGACAAAGTTTCACTCTTGTTACCCAGGCTGGAGTGCAATGGCACAATATTGGCTCACTGCAACCTGTGCTTCCCAGGTTTAAGTGATTCTCCTGCCTCAGCTTCCCGAGTAGCTGGGGTTACAGGCAGGCACCACCATGCCAGGCTAATTTTGTATTTTAGTAGAGATGGGGTTTCAACATGTTGGTCAAGCTGGTCTCGAACTCCGTTAACCTCAGATGATCCACTCGCTTAGGCCATCCCAAGTGCTGGTATTGCAGGTGTGAGCCACCTCGTCCAGACATGTATTTTACCTTTCTAGCACATGGCAGTTCAGACCAGCCACGTTCCAGACACCCAGTAGCTGTACATGTCACATTAAAGTGCAACTCTGACAACAGGGTTTAAGGGCCTGAACATTCCCTTTCTGCCAGAGGTGAGGGAAGAGCCTCTCCCTACCAATATCTCTCTTCAGTTCCGAGGATGGAACAGGGTGTGGCCATTAAAAGAGTGGAGAACACCAGAAATAACATAACCTAAGGTTGTTAAGAGTTAATGAAATTAATATGTATATAATTAAAATTACTAGATGTATGAAAAACAATTCTGCATGAAGAATGTATAAGCAAAAGCAAAGTGTGCTTTTAATGAAGAAAGACGAAACATTTTATCTAGTTTGAAATTACTTAATAGTTGTTTCAAATTGAAAAAACAAAAAATAGATACTATAATATAAAAAGTTGAAAAATTTATTAAGAGAGACCATGAAGTATTTATGAAAATCTACAGTGGCCAAAAATGACACATTTCATGGATTTATTTATAAGATTTTACTAGAAATAGCTGTAGTATTAATAATACACTAATACACAAGTAAAAGTTGATTTTCTTTTGAACAAAAATTTTACATATTATCAATGACATAGTAAAATATTTGTGCTTACCTTTTGAATAAATTTAAAAACAAAGAAAGTACAGAAAAGATAGAATTTTTCTCATGCTATCTTTCTCAGGTTTTTTGGACTGGAAAACTGAATCTCCTGTATCAAACAGTAAATGATTTTGGTTTAAAAATCTATTAACTACCACTTTGGTTAAATAAATGACTATTATTTTATGGTGACCTGTGATCCTATTTTGATAAAGTGTTTTAGCCCTCTGACATATTTGACAGGCTTCCCAACATCAAATTTTACTTAAAAAGTGTCTTTTTTGGCCGGGCGCGGTGGCTCACACCTGTAATCCCAACACTTTGGGAGGCTGAGGCGGGCAGATCACGAGGAAAAGACATTGAGACCATCTTGGCCAACATGTTGAAACCCCGTCTCTACTAAAAATACAAAAAAATTAGCCGAGCATGGTGGCACGCCCCTGTGATCCCAGCTACTCTGGAGGCTGAGGCGGAAGAATCACTTGAACCCGGGAGGCGGAGGCTGCAGTGAGTCGAGATTGCGTCACTGCACTTCAATCTGGTGACAGAGTAAGACTCCGTCTCAAAAAAAAAAAAAAGTGTCTTTTTTTTTTGTACCCCGAACTTTTGGATGCTATAGAGTGTCAGAGTAGCATGAAAAAGAGTGATAAACAGGCCTGGCGTGGTGGCTCACATCTATAACCCCAGCACTTTGGGAGGCTGAGGTGGGTGGATCACAAGGTCAAGAGATGGAGACCATCCTGGCCAACATGGTGAAACCCTGTCTTGACTAAAAATACAAAAATTAGGTGGGCGTGGTGGCACGTGTCTGTAGTCCCAGCTACTCAGGAGGCTGAGGCAGGAGAATTGCTTGGACCCAGGAGACGGAGGTCACTGGGAGCTGAGATCGTGTTATTGCACTCCAGCCTGAGCGACAGTGAGACTTTGGGAGGCCCAGCGCTTTGGGAGGCCAAGGCAGGCAAATCACGAGGTCAGGAGTTCAAGACCAGCCTGACCAACATGGTGAAACCCTGTCTCTACTAAAAATACAAAAATTAGCTGACATGGTGGCAAGCGCCTGTAGTCTCAGCTACTCCAGAGGCTGAGGCTGGAGAATCACTTGAACTTGAAAGGCAGAGGTTACAGTGAGCCAAGATCGGGCCATTGCACTCCAGCCTGAGCAACAAGAGCAAAACTTCACCTCAAAAGAAAAAAGTTAACTTACATGGAAGCATTGTAAAGTAAAAATAATGTTTGCCAGGTATGGTGGTTCATGCCTGTAATCCCAGCACTTTGAGAGGCTGAGGTAGATGGATCAGCTGAGGTCAGGAGTTCTAGACCAGCCTTGCCAAGATGGCAAAACCCAGTCTCTACTAAAAATACAAAAATTAAGTTGGACATGGTGGTGGGTGCCTGTAATCGCAGCTACTTAGGGGGCTGAGGCAGGAGAATTGCTTAAACACAGGAGTCAAAGGTTCCAGTGATCTGAGGTTGTGACACCACTCTCCAGCCTGGGTGACAGAGCAAGACTCTGTCTTAAAATATATATGTATTTGACTTCCTTTAACTTATATTTTAATAAACATGTTATTAATATTTTTGCCAAAATTGTAAGAAATTTCTAAAAATCTAATAAATCTGAGTAAATGCTCTTATTCATACTTATGGTTATTATAATAAATCATTGTAGGCCACAGATAAAATTAATTTCTTTTGTTTCCTTATAACCATTTAAAGTCATTTCCACAGTTAATGGCTTAATTCTGATGTAGTTTCTAAAACTTCAAAAGTATGGAAAATTCTAGAGTACTGTGTTTTCAAGGAGGTTCGTGAGAAGATGGAAAAGGCCCAGATGAGTTGAGTACACATTTCTGATAACGTTAGAATTATATTGTTTGAATTAGGTAAAAACTATGAGAATTCGGCCAGGCGCAGTGGATCACGCCTGTAATCCCAGCATTTTGGAAAGCTGAGGTGGGCGAACCATGAGCTCAGGAGTTCGAGACCAGCCTGGCCAACATGGTAAAACCCCATCTCTACTAAAAGTACAAAATATTAGCTAAGCATAGTGGTGGGTGCCTGTAGTCCCAGCTACTCAAGAGGCTGAGGCAAGAGAATCGCTTGAACCTGGGAGGCGGAGGTTGCGATAATCCAAGATCACACCACTGTACTCCAGCATAGGGAATGGAGTGAGACAAAAAAAAAAAAAAAAAAAAAAAAAAAAAAAAAAAAGATTGTGAGAATTCCAGTGAAGAGACTAACACTTGTAAAACTGCTAATTTAGGAAAAACAAAAATTAATTGAACATCAAGAAAATACTCTGCCACATTTTTATGCTAAATCAGCCAGCACTAAAATTTTTTAGATATGCCATTTGAATAAACTCTGTAGTCCAAATCAAATTTCCTATTTGAACCCGTCTTTTTTTTTTTTTTTTTTTTGAGAGGGGGTTCGCTGTTGTTTCCCAGGCTGGAGTGCAATGGCGCGATCTCGGCTCACCGCAACCTTCGCCTCCTGGGTTCAGGCAATTCTCCTGCCTCAGCCTCCTGAGTAGCTGGAATTACAGGCACGCGCCACCATGCCTAGCTAATTTTTTGTATTTTTAGTAGAGACGGGGTTTCACCGTGTTGACCAGGATGGTCTCGATCTCTTGACCTCGTGATCCACCTGCCTCGGCCTCCCAAAGTGCTGGGATTATAGGCGTGAGCCACCGCGCCTGGCCGAACCCGTCTTTTTTTTTTGAGATCAAGTCTCTCTCTATTGCCCAGGCTAGAGTGCAGTGGCACAATTTCGGCTCACTGCAACGTCCGCCTCCTAGGAGAACCCCTCATTTGTTTGTGCTATGCACCTACTTTGGAGAAACAAACTTGGTATTTAAGAGAAAATAAATTCAGTGTTAAGTGTGGACCCATGAAAAACCTAGACAGCCAACAGCCGCTTGTTCATTCCTGAGTTCTTAAAGCTTCCATTATTAAAAAGCTGTGCATTCCATTATTCATCATAGAAGATATAAAATAATCTACATTAAATATAAATTAGGCCAGGTGTGGTGGCTCGTGCCTGTAATCCCACCTACTCAGGAGGCTGAGGCAGGAGAATAGTTTGAACCCAGGAGGCGGAGCTTGCAGTGAGCCGAGATCGAGCCATTGCACTTCGGCCTGGGCAACAAGTGTGAAACTCCATCTCAAAAAAGAAA